TTTTTTTTTTTTTTTTTTCCATCCTGAGATCAGGACCTATTTCTAAATCCTAGCCCTCAAAGAACCCGGTGGGGTTGGAGAAAGGCAAGTTATTTCGGGGGGCCACAGCACCCCTCGCAAGGCGCGCGCTCGGCCTGGCGGGCGCCTCGCCGGGCTGCGCGCGGCTGGGCAGAGTGGCTGGATTATGTAAGTAACAGCCCTCCATGTGCTCACCACCATCTGTTAATATCTTGATATTGGAAAGTTCGGTGCCTGAGGCAAAGCCAGGGTTGGCGGCGCACAGCTCCCAGCCTTCTCTTTTCTACTCCAGGGCAGGGAATGCACCTCCCTTTGATTGTTTTTGCCCCTTTCCATAAAATCAAGTAGTAGTCTGCCCCTTCAGCCTCCTGACAACCAGCCCCTCTCCCCGAGGGCGGTGTTCGTGGGGGAAGAGCCATCTCCTTCGAGGTCACTTTATAGTAATGAATCCTTTCAGTGAATTGATATTTTATAACAAGTATAGGTTCTTTTAACTCTTGCGGTAGACTATTATCGGAGTGGGGGGAGGGCTGTATTATTATTTTTTTAAATTACTTTTTTTTCTGCCAGCACCCTGACCCCAAATTCTTGTAAGAGTTATATTTCAACTTCTTTGGAGTGATTCGCCTCTGTTTACTTTGAAAGCTGTTGGTTAAACAAACATCACTCGGGAGGCTTCTAAGCAGTGGGGTTCCCAGGAGAGAAACGCCACAGCTGCTATTGCTACTGATCTCGTGGCATTTCACTTTCCCCCATTCAGACATTCAGAACAAATTCAGGTTGGGCTTGGCGTCACACTGGGCACAAGAGGGGGGGCGCGTGGAGAGCCAGGGAGGGAGGGAGGGAGAATGTGGAGGTCAGTCGGTCTGCCTCCAGACAGCCTGAAGCAGGCCTGCCCGCACCCTGGAGTTGGTTTTTCTTTCTTTACCCGTCTTCAGGGTGGTGGTGCTGGTGTGTGTGTGTGTGCTGGGGCAGGATCTCCAGCATCCTTCGCCTGAAATCCACGCCCACGTTCGCCTCTCAACTGGATCTGGTTGAAATGGCCAGAATTGGTTTGTTTAGGATCTGATGACAGTTGTTTGCAAGGTTTTAAATTACTTATATGCAGTCTTCTCTCGGATCCCCAGCTAACGGCTTTAAGAAAGAACAGGAGGGGGGCGGGGGGGGAATAACACCGAGGAAATACCAAGGCGAAGTGTGCTTAACCCAGAGCCAGATGCACAAGTGATTACATCAAGTTTGACTAAGAACACACAGATCGCCCTTCAGATAAATAAATAAAAAAACACACACACAAACAAAAAAAACGCTGCCTGCACTGATGGGGTTTGTTGGAAGATCTCTCAGAATTCGGGTTCAACTTTCAAGTTATTGGGGTTGTGTTGGCAATGCGGCGGAGGAAGGGGCTGACCCCCTAGGTTTGGCCGCTGGTTTCTTCGGAGATGGAGCCAATACCTAGGCGACTTGTCGTCTCCAGGCTGACGGATCGCTTCTCCCCTATCAGAAAACAAACCGGGAGTCCCCGGAGATAGGGGGCTGCGGCCTCACGCCTTGCTCCAGGGCGGCGCGAGACCTGGGAGAGCGCCGCAGCGAGCCCTGGCAGGAGAGGTTGGCCAGGAGCCTGGCTCGTCCGTCGCCCCGACAGTAGGGGACAGGTCAGGGCCCCGAGTGCGCGGCTCACGGAGCCGGGCTGAGGACCGAGCTCGCTTCCCAGCGTCGCGCGCGCTCCTATTTCAACCCTCAGCTCCTGCGCCCTAAAGCGGGCTGCGCACCGCCGCGGCCGAGCGGAGCGAGCTGCGAGCCTCAGCCGCCTAGGCTGGCGGTGGGGGCGCTTGCATGTTTGCCAAGCGGGTTACCCCGACTTCCACTCGATGAGTGATAAAAGACGGATTGGGGCTCGAAGGGAACTTTTCCCGCCGCCAGCTCCCGAGCGTAGTGGGTGCAAAAGGTGTATCCGAGCGCTAGGTGCAATTGACAGAAACTTGTGGGCTACAATTCAATCTGTTCCCTCCAGAGTCTGAATCTTTTCTCAGCTTCCTTTCTTCCCTCTTCTCCCCCTCCTCCTTCCCTGCCCTCTTCTCTTTTAAATGTCAAACTGAGCAGATGGTTTTAAGGTGTGGACGGCATATATCCTTTATTCCTTTCAGTTTATGGGCTGACTCTGACACACGCACACACTGGGATACTTCAAGAAAATAATAGGACTAAAAAGAAGGAAGACAGTATCCTCGATCCACATTTTCCTGCTGAAGACACCCGCTTACCTCGAAAGGACCCAACCAACAGAAACATTATTCCATACTGCATCTAATGGGCACGCTGATAGATTACTTCTGTTCCCGACGTAGGTGGCCACATCTCGGTTAGAACACTTGCAGCAGCCGATCACGCAAGTGTGAGTGGTGTGTTTGTGCATGTCTGTGTCCGTTTCAGTAATAGGATGCAGGGAGTGTCTGAGGGCTGCGAAAGGGAAGAAATGAAGTCTGGAGATGCTCAAGCAAGTCTCCTTTCTTGTCCTGGACACCTAACCTGGCCAGTCTGATTTTTTTCTTTCCATGTTTGAATCCAGTGCCAAAAGTTTCCTATAGGGTACAGAGTTGGACATAGTATCAATGCTGTTATTCAAAAAGAATACTTTATCACGGTTGATGAATTTGAAATGGTAAATGTCCTCGGGAAGTTGTGTGTATGTGTGCGAGTGTGTGTGTTTGCAGAAGCCCGCGGGAGTGTTCCCCTGAGTACTTGTAACACACCTCATAAACACCCTGTTGTCAGGATGCAACACGATTCAACCTTTGATCTGATTAAATTTGAGGGACACACAAAGAATACTTGCCCCCATCCCACCTAAGAAAATGAGTGTCTAATCCCCTAGGTATGAATGTTTCTGCTTTGCAGCCCTTGCAAGTCCTAGCTTTTATAGGACCTTTAAGTCATAAACTCGGTTGCGTTATTAAAAGCCATTTACTGTGCCGGGAGAAAGAGACGCTCTAGCTGCAGGGCTGGAGGCTCGCTCCTTAGCGTTGGTACCTTGCAAACTCCAAAGCGCTCTTTAAGGGCCACATTATCTAAAGGAAGCTTGCAGTTATTTTTCGTCCAAGATATGTCAAACCAAAGTGAATTTTCTATGGCTTTATGTTGAAGCCCGGTATTTAAGCGCGTGAGATTTCTTGCCTAATACATTTTAAAGTTTGTCACCCAGGCATCAAAACTGTGTAAATCCTGTTTGAAACCTATCTCTTTGGTTATTCTGGGGTGAGTGAGTGGTAACTGCAAGATAATGTTTGTTAACCTCTTTTATTTTTAAGGCTACTGTACCTACCACCCGAATAATGTTGTTAGAGGCAACCAAGGGCCAGGGTTCTTCTTCCTAATAATTTTGAGGAGCGGTTGACTGGGATTCAGCCAGTGCTGGTCTTCTAATACCAGATGCAACGGAGCCCGCGTGGGAAACCTCTGGCATCTATCATTTCATCCTAAACCTACCTGTATTTCAGTGCCCACCTCCCCTTTAAAATTCTGCAAGGGTGACATGTATTTTTTGATACTGCCTGTAATAATTTTAAAAGTGCAATGATTTAAGGATCCCCACTCCCTCCTCCTCTACCACCCCACCTCTTTAAAAAAAAACACAACAATACACAAACCACTTTTTCTCTAGTATACTTTTCAGTGCCTTCCTTCACCCAGGTCCGAGGAGCACTCACTTGCTCGGCCACTGGGCGAACTCGCTCAGCTGTAGCTGTGAAATGAAGGG